CCCCCCCCCCAGGGGTGATGGTCACGCCACAATCCCTTCTCCTCCATTCTCTTCTCAGGATCTTGGGCACGCACAAACATGTGCCCTGCGTGAGTTTTAAGCCACTGGGTCCGGGGACGCGAACCATGGTCGACTACGGGGGAGTCCAACGACATAGTCATTACCCCAACAACTGGTTCCCTAACTGGTTTTTTTTTTTTTTTTGGTCCTTAGGAGATTTTTGCCTTAGAGCGCATGTGCTCACTGGAGAGAGATAGAGACAGAGACAGAGACAGAGAGCGGGAAAGTGAGAAATCACCCCCCAGGGTGGATGGCCATGCTGGAATCTCTTCTCCTCCATTCTCCTCTCGGGATCTTGGGCACATACGCACATGTGCCCAGCCTGAGTTCCAAGCCAGTGGGTCCAGGATTCAAACTGTAGTCAGCCGTGTGGGAGTCCAGAGATGCTACACCATCTACTGGTCCCACTTATAAGTGATCTTACCACCAAATAAAAGTGACAAGAAAAGGTACAGATAAAATTCTTTAGTATCTCTGTTTTAGGGAGCCGCCTCTTCCCCCACTTTATAACAATAGACACAGACTAGCTGCATCCGAGTGTAGTTGAGTCTGTGGATGTAGAACCCACAGATAACAGAGAGTATGCAGTATATAATTATGCATAGCCCATAGATCAGCTCAATTTTAGCTTATGCATCATAAGATGTTTGTACTAGATGAAATTGAAGCCCAACATTTGCCTGTTATCACTGTGCTATAATAGATGATTTCTCAGGACCAGCAGTTAGCGTAATGGCTATGTCGCTGGACTCCCACATAGTCGACCACGGTTCGAGTCCCAGACCCGGTAGCTTAAATTCATGCTGGACGCATGTGCGTGCGTGCCCAAGATCCCGAGGAGAATGGAGGAGACGGGATTGCGAGGTGGCCATCCCCCCTGGGGGGTGATTTATCGATTTCTATCTATCTGTCTTTCTGGTGAACACATGCGCCCTATAGCAAAAATCTCTCCAAAAAAAAAAATAGATGCTTTCTCATCAGCCTCAGGTAACTTACTATCACTGCTATGAACTCTTGTTCACTTCTTCTATAAGACATATTTGCTGATGTTCATTGTAACTCATAGCTCTCTACCTGGAAAAACAATGCCATTGACTGGTATACTCACTAAGAATCTATTGTTTTAGTTCACAAATCTAGTTTTGTGTGGCATTTATTATTTTAATTTTATGGTATAATTATCATAATGCTATAGCTTAGTTAAGTATGTGGGAGCCATTTCTAATAAAGCAAAGTTGGCTGCTTTGTAAAAAGTCTAAAAAGGTAAAAAAAAAAAAAAAAGCTTTAAAAAGATATCAGATTAGCCATGAGTGAAGCAATTATAAAAGACTGGGAAAAATTATAAAGATTTATGACAATTTTACACTCAGAATGGTTTACAAGTGTATATGATTTGAATGTATCCCCCAGACATTCATGCATTGCAGTTTGGAGAGCCCTTTTAACCGTGCTGAGAGGACTTAATCTAACTATGGTGGTGAAAGGTGGGCCTTTGGGAGGTGACTGCTCCTGGTGGCATTATAAGACAAGCATACACCCACATACGCATGTTCTGTCCCTGCTGTCTTGCCATATGATGTCCTATGTCACCTCTAGACTCTGCCAGGGGATCCTCAACAAGAAGACCCTCTGCAGATATGGTCCTTTGATCTTAGACCTTCAAAACTGTGAGCTGAGGGAACCAGCAGTTAGCATAATGGCTATGTCTCTGGATTCCCATGTAGTCAACCGTGGTTCGCATTCCGGACCCGGTGGCTTAAAACTCACGTTTGTGAGTTTTGGGCACGTGTGCCCAAGATCCCGAGAGGAGAATGGAGGAGAAGGGATTGCGGGGTGGCCATCCCCCCTGGGGGGTGATTTCTCGTTTTCTGTCTCTATGTCTCTCTCTGTCTGGCGAGTGCACGCGCCCTATAGCGAAAACCTCTCCAAAACAAAACAAAACAAAACAAAACAAAACAAAACTGTGAGCTGAATAATCTCTGTTCTTCGATCAGCTTGTCTCAAGTATTTTTGTTATTAGCAGCAGAGAACGAACTAAACAAATCTAAATTCTCACTTCTACATTAAGCATATGATTATGGTTTATGTAAAAAAAGCTACATCAAAAAGCATTTGATGGCAGGTGGTATAGTGGTTAAGGTGCTGGACTCCCACATGGCTGACTGTGGTTTAAGTTCTGGACCCTTTAAACTCATGCTGGGCACATGTGCATCTGTGCCCAAAATCCCTAGTGGAGAATGGAGGAGAAGAGATTGTGGTGTGGCCATCCTGCCTGGAAGATGATTTCTTCCTTTCTGTCTCTCTATCTCTGTCTCTCCAGCAAGCATACATGCCCTTCAGCAAAAATCTCTCTTTCTCTCAGGAAAAAAAAAAGCATTTAGCAGCTCCATATTCAAAAATAAGTCTCTACCCTTACATTAAAAACACATTCTCTCTCCTTTGATTATCCTTTTCAACTACCTAACTTGTAAACATAGGGCATCCTATGTATGAAAATGAGCATAATGGATTGATTTTGGCATTCGATGACACATAGCTATGTATCTGCCACTGTATGCTGTGAGGATGGGTTATCTGAAGTGCCCCTTATGCACATGCACAGCTATTCCCGATGAGCTGCTTAGAGGTTGTGCTCACAGCAGCTTTTCTTGCTTTTCTATTTCTCCGCGTGAGCCTAATCCTAACAGGAACCTCTTTCATGACTGTCTCATACATTCTAGACTTACCTGGTGACAGTCAGCTTCCGTCCTTTCACTTCCATGCTTGCCTCTGGCTTCTTGGGGTCCTTTCCTGGTCTTTCATTGAAGATGCGTATCTTTGGCTCATTCATGAACTGGCCTAGTGTAACAAGTGCAGACATTTATGGACACATAATTCAAGGTTAATCAAAGGAAAGGCTTGTCCTATGATCCAGGGAGTATTGTGGTTCCCCCTCTAAATTTCTAGGCTAGAAACGTGTCGAAAGAAAAAAGGAGAAGCAATGGGAGGGAGGGGGTCCTCCCTGAAAGCAAATTTCATCCTGTCCCTCATGCTTATTTTATACAGGAAGTTGATCTACTGGACCAAACTAAACTGAGCATCCTGGTGGTGGGAGGGTGACGTTAGTACTTCAGAGCACAGCTCCTGTCACAGGAACGAGGTTTATTTGTGATGTCATAGGCTTACATTTGAACCCGCCCCCCCTTTATTTATTTATTTTTTTGAGAGAGAGAGAGAATTTTGTTATAGGGCATGTGCACTTGCCAGAGAGAGAGAGAGAGAGAGAAAGTGAGAAATCACCCTCCAGGGGGGATGACCACAGTACAATTCTTTCTCCTCCATTCTCCTCCTGGGATCTTGGGCACGCACAAATACATGCCCGGCATGAGTTTTAAGCTGCTGGGCCTGGGGTTCCAACCACGATCGACTATGTGGGAATCCAGCAACATAACCATTACATCATCAGCTGGTCTCAAATTGGAATCCTTCTTAATACTGGGAACAACTCCCCAGAATGTTCTGTTGTCATCACAGACTTCCTAAACCAGTTCACCTCTCTGCAATTAGAAAAAGATTCTCATATAAAACTTAACATTTAGGGACCAGCAGTTAGCGTAATGGCTACATCGCTGGACTCCCATGTGGTCGACCGCGGTTCGCGTCCCGGACCCAGTGGCTTAAAACTCACACCGGGCGCATGTGCGTGCGTGCCCAAGATCCCAAGAGGAGAATGGAGGAGAAGGGGTTGTGGCATGACCATCCTCCCTGGGGGGTTATTTCTCGCTTTCTGTCTCTCTGACTCTGTCTGTCTGGTGAGCGCACGCGCCCTATACCAAAAAACCTCTAAAAAAACAAAACAAAACAAAACAAAACAACTCTTAACATTTATCTGTCCCTTCTCTTAACTTTTCCAGTTAGTTCCGCTGAAATCTTGTCTGGAAAACCATAGAAACCCATGTCTAGGTCAACTGACCTGACTGAAATCTTGTCATAGAAACCCATGTCTAGGTCAACTGACCTGGCTATCCATTTCTGGGTCATCATATTCTTGAGTCCACACCTGTCACTTTTCCACTCCTAAAGCCATTGTCAAGAGTCCAAAAGACCTGGAGTAGTCCCACATTTCCCAGATGACCAATAGACACTTTACCTATGAGTCCGTGTACATTCGGTGAAAACTTGTTTGTGGGGGGAATGTAGATTCCCAGAAAGTCTACATTGATTGGATGCTTCTTCCAGACACGATGAAGTAAAACAGAAAAGGACATATTTTTATCTAGAGTGACAGTCACAGTTTTTTCTTTCTTCACTGAGACAAGCACCCTAAGTGTGAAAGTCAAAATAGAATTAGCAATGCCAGGACAGATTTTGTGGAAAGTCATTCCTCTTACTCTTGCATGAACTCTCCACTCCTCCCAGTACAGAGTCACTAGTTTTCTAAGAGCGTCACAGTGTTTGTGCTATGGAACGTTACTTAAATTCTCAGCTCTAAAATTCTGTCTCTTTATGAGTTTGTACAATAGATAAGCCAATTAACAGATACTACTTGGGAAGACACTACGTATCAGACACAGTGTTTGGAGCAGATGCTGTCACACAGCCAATTATGGATTTCTACTGATGGATTCATTCACTGATCCAACATGTATGCATTGCGCACACTCTGTGTGCCATGCACGAGGCTAGACCTGGAGACACCGTGGTGACCAAAAGCACAGCTCCTGCTGCCAGAATAGGAGATGGGTAAGAACAATTTTCTGAGTGGATAAAAACAATATAAGCCTCAACCTCCTTATATCTGAAATGAAAATGTTAAGTTCTATGTTGTCACTGATGTCTGGATTTACTTCTGCAATCTGTGCTGAGGGTAGACCCTGATTCAGACTGGGTGACACTTGCCTCTGGTTAACAACGTGAGCTGTGTCAGACCAGGACAAAGTGGATGTCCGAGAGCCATGGCTCAGGGTGATGGTCTCAGTGCTGATTTCTATTTTCACGTCTTCACTTTGGAAGTAAAATCCCAATTTTCCAAAATAGGTGCTTAGTTTTCCATTTTTGGGCTTCTTGGCACCAATGAGTTGTCCATTGACTAAAATTCCTACAGCAGAGAAAAAATTATTTTCCCTCTTGTGCATCACTTGTTTTTATTTATTTATTTATTTATTTTTTATGTGTGGTCACCCTATTTCAAATTTATAAAATTTTGCAATAAGGAAATATTATTATTTTGCTTTAGATTTTTCATAACTCTTTTCCTTTGTAACTCTCATTTTATAGCTGATATGCTTTATTATAGTTTAAATCAATTCTTTCACAATAAGATGGCCAGTTCATATGCAGAGTGATTGTCTATATTGTACTATAATTGTCAAATACTTAGAAATATATGTACAATTTGACTTCTCAGTAATAACAAATTTCTAGAAACACAGAACTTCTGTGAAGGTGAGAAAAAAAGAAATCCCAGGTAGTGACAAGGAAAAAGAACTATTACCTAATTGTTTAAGTCACATATCATTTGTTTTTATTTTACCTGATTCTGGATCAGAAACCAGGTTGAGGATTTTTCCAGGTTCTGAGTCAATATTGAAACAAATATTCTTTTGACTTTTTGGCAGGTAGATGATGAAATGTGGATCATTTTCAACTGGAAGAAACACACAGACAATGAAAGCCCAGTCATAAAAAGGAAGATGATTTTGAACAGTGTTTTATTCTGGAGCACCTTTAACTTCGCCAGAACGGATAGTTATTGTGCTGCTACTATAGGTAGCTAACGTTCTAGGTATTGGGGGCCCGATAGTTCTTTTTGTCCCTTCGTCATGGAGCTACCAGCAGAGCTTTATGTTATTTTACAAAGATAGTGGGTGTTTATTCTGAAGCTATCACATTTGCTAGGCTAGATGCTAGAAATTTTAAAAAAATGAAAGGAAGGCACAAAGAACAAGAAATATATACCACAAATATATGTATATATATATGAAAACACATATCATAGATATAAGAAACACACACATGCCTTCTATAAATAAGAAACACATAAACACATGATGGAGATGTACTTTCTGTTTGTTCGTTTTTAGTTATTTGCCATAGAGTGAGTGTGCCCACCAGAGATAGATAGATACAGAGAGAGAGGCCGTGAGAAGGAAAGTGAGAAATCACTCCGCGGGGGATGGGGATGCCACCATCCCTTCTCCTCCACACTCCTCTTGGAATTCTGGACATACATGCACATGCACCTGGCATGATTTTTAAACCTTCAGGTCCAGGACTCAAACTGATCAGCCTTGTGGGAGTTCAGTTCCTTAACCACCATGCTACCTGTTGGCCCCAAGATCTACTTCTCAAGGAGACATATGCAACAGCAGAAAAACAAAGACCGGATATTTTTGATATACAGATTAATATTAATTCCAAGAACAATGAAGAATCAAGTACTTTCCTAAGAAAGTACTCCTTTGTTACTGAACGTGATTGTCCTTGTCTCCCTAGTCTACTCTGCCTTCCCCTGTAACCAATCAATCAACAAATATTTCTTTTTTTTTTCTTTTTTTGGAGAGATTTTCACTATAGGGTGCGTGCGCTCGCCAGACAGACAGAAAGAGACATAGAGACAGAAAGCGAGAAATCATCCCCTGGGGGGATGGTCACGCCGCAATCCCTTCTCCTCCATTCTCCTCTTGGGATCTTGGGCATGCACACACACGCGCCCGGCATGAGTTTTAAGCCACTGGGTCCGGGACGCGAACCGCGTTCGACTACGTGGGAGTCCAGCGACATAGCCAGTATGCTAACTGCTGGTTCCCAACAAATATTTCTTTAAGGGTAAAATCAAACCAAAATTAAACTATCTTATGTGCAAAACACTAAATTAGATGACGTTTGTACAGCTACAAGTAAGTCCTGGTTGTACTTTCAAGAAAGCAGAAATTTAGTTAAGGAGGTAAACATAATCACTAATGGAATAGAGAATGAAGTAAATGGTATAATAATTGCCCAAGCAAATTGCCATGAGAATGAAGATAAAAGGCTGACTGGGTCCCCTTGAGCTAACTGAGCAAGGCCGGAAGGAATAGTTAGATTTGGAACTAAGTGAGTAGGAAGAAGAGGGGGAAGACAAAAGGCAAAAGAGAGAGAGATTTTATTCTGGATGGACAGAATGAGAAAGGTATGGAGGTAGACTAGTTCATGATTTGTTTAGAAAGTAACTCGCTGTGGCCAGATAATGAGTTCTTCAAGAATGGAGAAAGAAGGTCCGATTGAAAAGGTACATTTCCTGAGGACCAGCAGATGGCACAATGGTTATGTTGCAGGACTCCTATGCAGACCATCATGGTTCTGAGGTTCAGACCTGGGGGCTTAAAACTCACACTGCACACATGTGCTTGCATGCCCAAACTTGTGAGAGGAGAACGGAGGAGAAGGGATTGCAGCCTGGCCATCCCTCCTAGGTGAGTGTTTCTCACATTTTGTCTCTCTATCTCTCTGTCTCTCGGCAAGAGCACACACCCTGTAGCAAAAATCTCTCCCTACCAAATAAATAAATAAATAAATAAATAAATAAATAAATAAATAAACAAACAGGTCTGAAAGGCACAGAAACACCAAACAGTCGGTCTTTTTTCCCCCCACTAGATAGTGTTTAAAGGTTTTGGGAATAAATGTGACATGATTTGACCCTTGTTTTTGAAAAACTGGTGGCAGTGTAAATACAGTATTGGAGGGTAGACATAGGAAGATCATTTAGTAGCTAAAGCAGTAACCCAGGCCAAAAAAAGTTAAATTCAAGACCTCAGATAAAGAATGGACTTGACAAAGGAAGGAAAAGTCAAGTGGTATTTCACTCCAGTCCACACTGCCTGGTTAACTGAGTGAAGAGGAACAGCTGCTGCTGCCAGAGTTCTAGTCTCAACGAGTGAAGGGTCTGAAGTGCATGGTTTGAGTCGAAGAGAACAGAAGTTGTGTTTTCCAGAATAAAATGGGAAGAGTAGGATACCATTCCCAGAGAGGTAACTGTATTCTGGATGTTATCATAAAGCTCCTTGCAAACATTAACTCAATTAATTCTCCTCTGTCCTTACAGGAAGAATAGGTGACTTTCCTGGGGCGACACCAGAATCAGTGACAAAGCTATAACTCACATACTAACTGTCTGATACCAAGCCCATGCTCTTAAGCACTCTCATACGCTGCCTTGAACGCATTCATTTTCAACTGTGTATTTTGGTACTGAATGCGAGGATAATCTAATTTACTGCAAGAAGTGAATTTTGTACTTCCTTTCCATGCTTCACACCATCAAGCTCATGCTCTGCAGTCTGTAAATATTTGGTTAGTCAATTTTTGTTGGAGTCAGACACTAGAGGGCATTGATAAAACAGAGTAAAGGCTCTTAACTTTTAAAAAAATATGTAATTAAAAAATCATTATATCATATTTTCTTTCTTTCTGTATACAAATGCAGTGTTGAGATATTTTGCTTGGTGAAATTGCTTTTATTAAAGACAATGATTGGCTTCACCATTTTAATGAACCCCAATCCCACCAATGAGACCCTCTGATAAGTAACAACAGCAAACAAATCTACTGTCATGTTGGGTTGATAAAATTCTAGCCAACAAAAATGAAACATCAGATTTAAGCTAGTATCTGCAGTCTAATTCTGATTAAGTTGAGGACCCCCATAACTAACTTCACAGACGCCTAAGGACCCCAGTTTTATAGGCTTAATACTAGCCATTGTTTAATTGAGCTTCTACTAGGCATGTGGAACTTACCTTATAACTATTCTGCTATTGGGATAATACTTATCTGAGGCCTTGATTTTAACTTTTTTGGCCTGGGTTACTGCTTTAGCTACTAAATGATCTTCCTATGTCTACCCTCCAATACTGTATTTACACTGCCACCAGTAGTTTTTCAAAACTGAGGGTCAAATCATGTCACATTTACTCCCAAAGCCTTTAATAACTATCCAGTGGGAAAAAAGACCTATTGTTTGGTGTTTCTGTGTCTTTTGGACATTTTTTTTTTTTTTAGGGAGAGATTTTTGTTATAGGGTGCATGCACTCGCCAGAGAGACAGAGACAATGACAGGGAAAGGAGAGAGACAACGAGAGGGAAAGAATCATACTCCAGGCGGGTTGGCTATGCCACAATCCATTCTCCTCCATTCTTTTGGGACCTTGGCCACACACACACACACACACACACACACACACACACACACCCAGCGTGAATTTCAAGCCACTGGATCTGGGACTTGGACCATGGTCAGTCATGTTGGAGTCCAGTGACATAACCATATGCCATCTGCTGGCCCCTGAGATTTGCATTTTAAGGGCTTTGTCACGTGGGTATTTTGCCACTGTCATTGACTGCTCAGATCTTTTCTAGTGTTTTCGGGTTATGCTTTTGATCCATCACACTGATGACATTATTCACCCACATGTGAGCCCACCTGTCTTGTAGCTATGACCTTGTTATGAACAGTGTTTGCACTCTCTGTGCAGATGTCCATTCTAGTGCCATAACTCGAGGAAGTTGAATGAGGTGAATGTAGACATAGGTCTTTCCCTTCCCCCCTTTTAAAAATGTAACACATAATTTGATGTTCTCCTTTCCCTGCTCCCTCCCCCTTTTGGAAATGCATCAGAAAGTCTAGATAGTTCAAGATGAGCCATTGAGGGGATTGAGAGAGAAAGCTACAAGGAGCCTGGCTTCTTTGTGTACCCTATAAGCACCCTTATAATGAGAAAACCTTATGGGAGATCCAAGCTGCAGACTCAAGGAGTTTGGGAACCAGGACCACAGAGGTTACTCTCTAGGATTCTGGCCATGCGGTTGGATGCCTCACCTTGCAGAAAAGAGACACTGGACCTAAGAAGTGTGGCATGACTTTGTTTCTGCTTGGCTAAATTTTTCAACACCACAGTCAGCAAAGTTTAAAAACACAGAGAGCACCTATCCTGAGGAGAAGGTAGAGTTGGAGTAAGCCATCGGTGACATAACCCCTCTGCTGGCTTTTTTTTTTTTTTTTTAAACAATGGACTTCTATGAATTACAGGAGATTCCAGGCACCAGCTCTCCCTATTCGCCATGATTCTGTGGACTCCGGTGTCTCTAAGGGAGCGTATGCTGGAATCACATGGAGCGTATCCGGTTGGCATGGCTCTTCCCGAGGTCATGATGGCATGAGCCAGCATAGTGGAGGTGGCTCAGGGAGCCATTGCCACTGGAATGGCAGCTTCCACTCCCAGAAAGGTTGAGCCTTTCCAGAAAAGTGACCTATGGAGATCAGGGAAGAAAAGAAAGAAGACAAGGTGGAAAAGCTGCAGTTTGAAGAGGAAGACTTTCCTTCTTTGAATCTAAAAGTTGGCAAATAGAATTAGCCATGCAGATCTTTGGGACCCTTTCTGGAGTGTGGGAAAACCCATCCAGTGCTAAGCAATCCTCTAAGATGCTAGTTATCAAAAAAGTTTCCAAAGAGGATCCTGCTGCTGCCTCCTCTGCTACATTCACCTCACCAGGATCTCCCCACACAAATGGGAATAAACCCTCAGCCATGGTTCCAAGGGTCTGTAAGAACCCAGTTCCTAAGCTGGTACCACCTTCTTCCAAGCCTAATACATGGAAATCTAACAGAATTGAACACAAATCAGGATACCTTTCCTTTAGCTGGGAGTCTCTTTTCACCAGTCCAATCTCCGTTACCAAATCTGTGGTACTAGTTGGTGGCATAGTTCTAAGTTCTCCCAGAGAGAGTCCCTCCAGCACCACTCTTCGAATTGAGATAAGCTCTTCTCGTCTGACCAAACTGACTCACAGAACCACTGACAGGAAGAACAAGTTCCTGAAGACTCTGAAGGATGACTGGAATGGAGACTTCTCAGAGAACAGAGACTGTGAAAAGATGGAGGATTTGGAGGACAATACCACACCTGAACGAAAGGTAAAATGGGGAAGGAAGCTGTCATCAGCATGGTCTTGATCTCCCCATAGTGGAAGAAGGGGAGGTCCTCTCATACTCTCTGGAAGCAAAGCACAGATGGTTGAAAGCAAGTGGATGGCAGGAATTTCCTGAAAAGGTTGAGAATTGCCTTCCTCTCACAGAGGATGAGCTCAAAGAGTCCTACATGAAGACAGAGCAGCTGAGAAAAAAAGGTTTTGGAAAGAATGGCTTCTTGCAGAGTCACTATTCCAGCCTGTCCTCCCATTGGAGAAGCACTTGCAAAGCAGAGTTTGAAGACTCAGATGCAGAAACCAGTAGCAGCGAAACATCAGATGATGCTGCCTGGAAGTAGGCATAGAAATGTTCACAGTTAAATCTGACTCAGTACACTCGGCTCGTGTGTTTAGAGAGTATACAAAAGATATCGGGACCAGCAGTTAGCGTAACGGCTATGTCGCTGGACTCCCACGTAGTCGACCATGGTTCGTGTCCCGGACCCAGTGGCTTAAACTCACGACTGGTGCGTGTGCATGCGTGCCCAAGATCCCAAGAGGAGAACAGAGGAGAAGGGATTACGGCGTGGCCATCCCCCCTGGGGGGTGATTTCTCGCTTTCTATCTCTCTGTCTCTCTCTGTCTGTCTGGCGAGTGCACGCACCCTATAGCAAAAACCTCTCCAAAAAAAGAAAAAAAAAAAAGAGATATCATTATTTCCCTTCTGTTGTTCAGTACTTCATGCACAAGGGAAATAATCATATCCGAAAGAGTGATTGCCTTGTTTAGCTTGTTTTTGTTCTTCCCTGTTACCTGCTTAACAGAGAGAAGTTTATGTGGTGGGAAAGATTTTTAAAAAGATGTACACGCACGTGCGCGCGCGCACACACACACACACACACTATATGGGGCGATGGCAGGTGGGAACTGGCAGTTTAGCGAGGAGGAGACACTGATCTGCAGCAACAGCGGCTAATACCACCGCAACATTCCTGTGCTCAAGCAATCATTGTCAATGACAAAGTGACTCTTAAAGCTATTGTATTAAATTAATGCTATTAATATTAATTGGATACTTAATTAATATCAATTGAACATTTTATTTTATTTTTACCCGCTTGGGTAACTTTAGCTCCTTCACCAAGCATGTGTGGTTTTTTTGTTCTTGTTTTTTTTTAGTTTGTTTTTAAATTTTCACTCTGGGTACAACTATAAAATATTTGGATATAGGCAATATTGTGTCATTCTTGCAACTTTGATATTCAGAGTGGATTGTAAAATATGTATTTTTGTGAGACTTCAAAGATTAAGTTTATTTTGATAACATTATTTACAGATTTCAAAGATGTGGTTATCACAAGTCTGTTAAAGGGGAAAACTACTGCGTAAAAATAACTAATTGCAATCAATATTTTGCATCAGTTAAAAAAGTCAATGCATATTATAAAAAAGATGTACTGACTTAAGCATTTTTTGCCTCAAAAAGATTTTTAATCCCATTTTTCCATGAATTTTTTTGAACATTTTTTGCCTCAAAAAGATTTTGCATTTTAATCCCATTTTTCCATGAATTTTTTTGAAGTCCTCTTTGTACAGTTGGAAATGGAATGCTAGGGATAGAATTGTACCTCTTGTCCCATCCAAATATCAAAACCCTGATCCTCACTGAGATGGTATTAGAAGATGGGGCTTTGGAAGGTCATTAGGTTTAGATGAGGTCATGAGATTGGAGACCCTTTATTATGGGATTATTGCCTTGGTAAAAGGAGACACCAAAGAGCTCTTTCTTTTTCTCTCTTCCTGTGGGCATAGAAAGAGAAGGCCAGGTGAAAGTTCAGTGAGATGGCAGCTGCCTACAAGTCCCGGGAAGAGGTCTCAGAATGAAGCCTATGTTACTTGCACCTAGATCTTGGACTTCCCAGCCTCTAGAACCGTGAGAAATAAATGTCTGTTGTTTAAGTAACTCCATCTATTTATTTTTGTAATGCTAGCCCCAGCTGAAATATGCATGGCGTTATCTTCTTTAATGGAGGAAGGATGCCTATAAAGGTCGCTTAGCTGACCAGACAAAGATGCCTATAAAGGCCATTTAGTTTACCAAGACACAGTGATTTCATTAAGACATATGAACGCTCCCCGAGATTATGATGGGTTGCACTTTCTTTTACCTCTCATCACATGTGGAGGGGGCGTTGACTCGAGCACCCGAGCTCCTAGTACGGGCATTGGAATAATGGGTGTTGGTGAAGGATTGGCCCATGACGGAACTGAAGCTGGAGCAACTTTGCTGCCATAATACAGGGCACCTGTGAAGGAAAACCTGCAACCATTAGTTTCCAGTTTTACTTTTCCATGGAAATTGTTCACAATTTCAATACTCTGTTGGATGTAGCCCCTGGAGGTTTTCGTCCCCTGTTTTACTTCTGGAGTTTTCTCTCCTCTGATTCCCTCTGATACCACGCTGGGAGTTCTTTCTGCAAGGCGTAGAGAGCATGAATAGCTTTTAAGCAATTTCTACATTCTCAGCTTCCACGTATACTTTTTCCTAAGAACACTTCTTCTAGTTTACGCAGAAAGGTATGCTCATCCCCCTATCTCCCTTCACCAAAAGTCCCCCAGGAACCAAAATGTCCACTTGAATATTGCTGTAGTGTAGCCACAGTTTTCTGGAGAAGTTGATATTTTAGGAATTGTATTTCAGATCTTAAATAAAATTTGTTTCTAAATTTAAAAGCAAACAAACAAGCAAACAAACAAACCAACCAACCAGCCATATGGCTGGGAAAACCTTTTGCAGGTCAAATGGTTTCTAATTCCTTGCATTCAACAAAATTAGGTCTGTACGTGAGTTTTGGCACATCATTTTGAAGACATTCAGATAAGCAGGTGATACACCTAGAAACAAGCTCTTTCTGTTCCTGTCTATTTATCTATGTCAATAGTATTTTCAGGACTTATGCTTATAAAACTTTTTTTAAAAGTAGAATTGATGCTGGGGCCAGCAGGTGGCATGGTGAAAGGGTGCTGGATTCCCACATGGCTGACTGCAGTTCAAGTCCCAGACCTGGTGGCTTGCTTTCTCACTTTCTCTCTCTTTCTCTGTCCTTCTCTGGTCATATTAAAATACATAAATAAATAAAGTTAAATAAAATAATTCTTTAAAAAGAAAAAAAAGAGATAAAAAGAAAAAAAAAGTAGAATTGATGCTGACCCAGCAGGTAGTATGGACGGTAAGATGGCTGGATCCCACATGGCTGATTTTGTGGTTTGAGTCTCAGACCCAGTGGCTTGAAAATCACGATGGGCCTGTGTGTGTGCCCAAAATCTCAAGAGGAGAATGGAGAAGGGACTTCAGCAGGGCATCTTTGGGGGGAGGAGGGGTGTGATTTCTCACTTTCTTACTCTCTTCCCTTTCTCTGCTCTGGTGAGTTTACTGCCCTATAGCAAACCAATAAATAAATAAATAAATAGAATAGAATTGACGCTAAATCGTGTTTCTTTCCATTTATTCATAGATAATATTTACTCATGGTTATATGAAAAAAATATTCTTCCACATTTTTCTCAGTAAGAGATTATTTTAAATTAAATTTTACTTAAGAATTTTAAAACCTATTATTTATATTATAATGTTGATTGCCTGCTAGTAGTAATTTTAATAAAACTCGATGTAGGTGAAAGTGTTGAACCCTCAGGGACCAGCAGTTAGCATAATGGCTATGTCACTGGACTCCCATGTAGTCGACCACTGTTTGAGTCCTGGACCCAGTGGCTTAAACTCACACTGGGCGCGTGTGCGTGCATGCCCAAGATCCCGAGAGGAAAATGGAGGAGAAGGGATTGTGGCGTGACCATCCTCCCTGGGAGGTGATTTCTCGCTTTCTGTCTCTATGTCTCTTTCTGTCTGTCTGGTGAGCGCACCACCCTATAGCAAAAACCTCTCAAAAAAAAAAAAAGATTGTCAAAGAAGTTTGAAAAAAGGGGTTGAACACTCAGAATCTTATGGTCACAATTTTTAACTTCAAAATTTAAACAAACAAAAGGAAAAAAATTTAACAAGAACCAGCCCATGTCCTGGCAGTTAAGATAGCTGGACCCCTTGGGACCAGCAGATGGAGTAATGGTTACATCATTGGACTCCACGTAGTGACTGTGGTTTGAATCTCGGACCTGGTGGCTTGAAACTCATGCTGGGCATGTGTGCATGTTTGCCCAATATCCTGAGCGGAGAATGAAGGAGAAGGGATTGAGGTGTGGCTACCCTCCTTGGGGTGTTATTTCTCACTTTCTGTCTCGCTGGCGAGTGCATATGCCCAATAGAAAAATCTCTCTCTCTCTCAAAAAAAAAAAAAAAAAAAAAAAAAAAAAAGACAGACCCAAAAACGTTTCAATCCTAGATCTAGTGGCTTGGAAAAATGTATTGGGTGCATATGTGCATATACCCTAAATCCTCAAGGGAGGGAGAGATGGAAGAGAGGGAATTGTGGCATGACCATTCCCATGGGGAGATGCTCTCTCTCTGTCTCTCTCTGACAAGTGCATGTGCCCTCTGGCTGAAATATAAATAAATAAATAAAATACTTTAACAAAATAAGCAAACTTTTTTTTTTCATAGAGAAACAGGATGATCAATAAAAGACTTTCATGCATAAAACTATATTATACTAGGATATGGTTCTTTTGGGAAAGTGGAATGAAATATGAGTTCAACTAGGAAAAAAACACAAAACTTCCAATAGTTAAAATAAACTTTGTTTATGTATTTTTAAAGAAGTTTGGTTATTTCTTCCATGAAAGCTAGAGAGAGAGAGAGAGAGAGAGAGAGGAGAGAGAGAGAGTGTCACTCCTAACAAGGCTTCCACACTATGATCTACTCCCAGCTCCAGCCAACCAGGATTCCAATGCACACCAGGAGTGTACAGAGAGACTTCCAGACTCGAACTTAGGACCTTCCCACGGAGCTTCAATATCACAGTGCTGCATCACTGCTATGCCACTACAATGAGCCTATAGTTTTTTTAAAAAATGGATGATGGGAAATAGCCAATGAAGTATTTTATCTCACCAGTGACATAATAGTTTTATTCCCAAAGATCAATACTTACAATATGCCAGAAGTTATATTTTTTGCAAATCTTATTAAAACAAGATTTTTTAAAAATGTTAATGTTGATTTTAAAATATGCATGTAGGAGGGGGTTCAAAATTCCTTTGGGAGACATGTGAGTAAAATGTTTAAAGAGCATAGCAATAGGGCGCATGTGCGTGTGTGCCCAAGATCCCGAGGAGAATGGAGGAGAAGGGATTGTGGCATGGCCATCCCTCCTGGGGGGTGATTTCTCGCTTTCTGTCTCTCTGTCTCTGTCTTTCTGGCAAGCACATGTGCCCTATAGCAAAAACCTCTCCAA